GTGCCATCCTCGAGGTTCGATTTCCCCCTCGAGGATGTCCTGCAACCACGAATCGCCTTCCACTTTTCATTCATGAACCTTTCCGTAAGGTCTACGATCGTCATACAGGGTGGGAGAAAACCCCCCACACAAGATTGAAGACAAAAGTTGAACCACGAAGTAGGATAAGAAGATGCAACACCATGTATTCAAATTGTCCACACGTACCCCTAGTGTCCAGGATCTTCAGATGTTTTCCGATCTACCGCCGAGAGAGCCTCTTCAAGGAAATTTTGCAATTAAAAATTATTTTCTGTTAGTGGGTTTATCGCGGTAAAAACATCACGTTCTGTATATCATTCGCGGATTATCGTTTCGCTTTGCGCACCTTAATTCTAAAATTAAAAGCATTTTAGGTCATTTACATTAGTAGGAAATGTTTTGCTCATGTAGAATCGAAGTTCCCTCATTTTCCGCAAGTATCGCTCGCATCGTTAGATCAGGAAAAATTTCAGATCTTGGGCCCGACTATGAAGTTACTTTCTGTGGAATCGATCATACGCGTTATGTCTCCTTATACCACTTCATGAGTTGAACATTATCCAAAGGAAACAATTGTCAACGCACGAGAGGAGCCCAGAAAATTACGTACGACCCTTCCTGGTAGTACATAATGCACAGAATTAATCAATGTAGGATATTCGTTAAATAAATTATATAGAAAATATAAGAGAAATATTTTGTACTACCAGGGGCGTCGTTGAAGTCGATCTTAGCTGAGAACACCGGTCGGGATGTCTCGGGTTGCGATTCCCTGACCTTCCGCAACCATTGAAATTCCAGCCGGTCAATTATTCCCGAGGAGCGTCCTTTAAAGGGCCATTCTTCAGGACTTAATCGGCGCTCCTGGAAGAACCCGACAACGAGGGGCAAAAAGAGGCCGGCCTTCTTTTCCCTACCGAAACAGATCCACTTGCCGTTATAAATTACCATCACATTACGCAACCCAAAACCCGACCGACTTGGTATTTTACTCGGCAATCGGAAGGGTTATCATCCGAGCGTGTAGGAACACCGATTAATGAATTATGTAACGCGACTAACAAATTTCTTTTTATGATAGAAAAGGAGAAAATGAGGAGATACCGAATATAAAAGAAAATCATTACCTTTTTACACTTTGTGCATATAGTAATATGTTGCAATGCGATTTTCGATTTTCCTATTTGATTAGATAAAGAAGTCGATTTCATCTCCGAGAAGCCAAAAATTAACTTCACGCACTATTTTCTTTTTTATTAAGGGTTTCGTGGATTCAAGCTTTTTCCTATATCTTTAAAAAATTATTCACGTGTGGTTATAACTCGTGGCGTCATTTCAAGGGTTCCCGTCATTCCCCTCTTTCCAGCGTCAATCCAGTGGGGTAAAAGGAATTTTATGAATGAACGAAGACTTTCACGATGACTGTGCGTAACTTGTTCTACGAGAATGCGCCCACTTCTATTTTCCAATCTGAGGTTACATTACAATGTTTAGAATTTACAATCATCTGGATACCGCAAAAAAGTAGCATCGTCCAATAATATTTTCAATCTTTCCATGAAGTTCGAAGGGGTATTCATTCAGAAAATCATGCATTTTATGCTTGAAAAGTAGATGAAAATCAGGTGGAAATCGTAAGAGGAAACCACTGGAAATTGTTGGAAATCACCAAAACACTCAGAATTTTAAGGCCGACAGTCACGCGTTATCGAATCGCATTGTCGCGTATCATATGAAATCAAAGGCTAGGGGTCCTCAAAGAAGGAAATCGTTTTCCCCGATTTCAGAGTGAATAGCCCCTCGGAAACAGCGGTTCCTGGTGTTACACGTTAGCATGCCATTACCCGAGTCCTCTCTCCCCTCGCCTTTGCTGCCGCGAGTTGGCGAGGTAAGGGAAACTTTATGAATGAATGTTTCCACGGCGAATATACGAGCCGCGTGCCCCCGTGTGTAAACACAATAACGGCGACGTTTCCATTCATCAGCGACGCTCTCTCGACGACCTCGAGAAACGCCTTGCTTTGCCTCACCTTTCGAGGGTTCCGACGTGATCCATTCTCGAGCTAAACTTCCCTTCCTTTCCCTTTTCTCTCTGTCTTTCTCTCTCGCCTTCGCGTTCCCCTCTTTCCGTCTCGCTCTCTCGTCCACGCACGCTTCGAGTACGAGATCGATTTCGCTCCCCTATGGCCCTGCTCTTTCGCATAAAAACCCTGCGAGGGCGAGAACCACGTAGGGGATTTTTTCCACCTACCGACAGGTTCTCCTGCGGTCGACGACCCTGGTACCAGGAAACCTACCTCGTTTAGGGCAGATTTCGAAAATCCCCGGTGATTTCAGCTGAATTTTTCACACCCCGGAATCCCTGCGTTAAGGTGATGTGAAAGAGGTTTCGTTTATGAAATTTATCTCCGAACTGGGTGCACCGAATCGTTTTAAATCTTACAATGTGAATATAGAGCCTATAACGAAGGTCACGACGCCCATGAAATTTCAATTTTTGAAGATTTGTTTACAGACATTTTTAACACTTTTCAGAAGAAATGAAATTTTATGGGTATTCGGACCTTGCTTTAAGTTTTCATATTCACATTGTAAAGTTTCAAACGATTTGATACACCCAGTTCAGAGAAAAGTTTTATGAACGATTAACCCTTTAGATGTCACTTTCACATCCCCTTAAGTGGAATTGCGGATCCATTGAGATCGAGCTATATTTTTTTTTTATAATTACTAGTTTAATGATGGTGAATGAACCTGGAACTAGCTATCCTATCTCAATCGTGAACCTTTTTTGAATTATCTAAGTGAATCTTTGGGGTGTCAGTACCGTCACTACGTTCTGAATGATGGAGTTTCGATGCGTATTTTGTAGTCCAGTTATGGGCTTTCAAATGCAAAAAGAAAAAAAGAAAACGTTGTAATCTCGTGCCCTACACGAGAATATCGATTTTTTGAGGTGGGGGTGTTAGCTTTTATGGAAGCTTTTTACACCGCGGATGAAATCAAAATTCCAGGCCGTCGATATCGTCGAAGAGTGTATACATATTTTCACTAATATTGAATCAGACATACAGTACCGCTAATATATTTTGACACACGTGGTGAAATTTCTAAATTTCGGAAAGAACAAATCAATGAAAGAAATTGTCGGGGCAGCTATCGTGCAGACTTAATAAACCAATATGGAGAACAATAAATAAAATAGTAAATGAATCAATCAATAAATAGATAAAAAGAAACTAGTCGAATGTGTTATCGTCGTTACCGTGCAATCGATTCAGTACGTCATTATCTCAGTTAATTCTTGACATTTGAAACAAAATATAAACAATAAAGCAATTTCATTTTATTTCTTTTTATTTCTGCATAACGTATATGTTTACTTTGTTGTCGAATCTCTGTTTAAGATTGAGCCCAGTATAGCGACACGTGAGATATGTAAAACAGGGCTTTAAATATTTTCAGGACCGGCCTTTCACTGTACATGAAATTTTCTTCCCAACATTTCGGACATGGAAGGAAACGTGTGGTCCATGGTGTGCGCTATGGAGTTGGGTTTGGACAAGGGTTCACCCCTGAAGATGAACGGCTACTCTTCATTCGTCGAACCTCTGATGGAGAATCCTAAAGAGAGAGATTCAGCCATTTCTTACCCCGCGAAGAATCTTCAAACTCGGAGACGCCGGAAACGTCGTTGGACTTCCGGAAAATCCTTCGGTATTCGCCTCATTGCACGAATTCTAAAACGAAGAATTATTGCGTACAGATCCTGTAATAAACGTGTTGTGAAGAACCGCGATTCTGAACCCCTTTATAAGGAGAAATTGCCGCAAACATTGGAGAGCTGTATACAGGATGCAAAATGCCCGTCCAAGAATTCAACTATCGGGGCAGGTCCCGACAGTCCCATAGATGTTAATCCAGATAATTGGTTTATAGGCCACCGTTCAAACTCTGGACGCACAGAAGCAGTTAAACGTTGCGACCGAGGGACCGAAACTTGCCACTTGGGAATGCCGTACTTAAATGAATTTTACGACGTCATCAGTGTCGATCCTTCGATGCCGTCACCTCGAGAGAGCCCCATAGATTTCCTGGATCCTTCTTCTATCTGTTTGCAACACCAAGAATACCCTCAAGAAGACACGGACGACGAAGTACCAGGACGTTTTCTTCCTACTAACCGAAGTTTTAATTTAGTCGAATCTTCTCTCGAGGTATTAATACGTTCCCAGATAGAAATTCATGAACATCATATGATGAGGAAAATCGATTTAAAAAACTATTTCCAAACCATTCGCTGCATGAAATGTCTGCAATATATGTACGCATGTTTTCTTCATGCTAGCCGATGTTTTAATTTAGTCGAGTCTTCTATCGAGGTATTAATATGTTTCATGAACATCATACGATGAGGAAAATGGATTTATAAACTATTTTCAAACCATTTGCTGCATGAAATGTCTGCAATATATGTACGCATGTTTTCTTCATGCTAGCTGATGTTTTAAATTAGTCCAATCTTCTGTCGAGGTATTAATACGCTCCCAGATAGAAATTCATGAACATCATATGATGAGGAAAGTCGATTTACAAACAATTTCCGAACCATTTGCTGCATGAAATGTCTGTAATATATGTACGCATGTTTTCTTCATACTAGCAGGTGTTTTAATTTAGTCCAATCTTCTGTCGAGGTATTAATACGTTCCCAGGTAGAAATTCATGAACATCATATGATGAGGAAAATCGATTTACAAACAATTTCCGAACCATTTGCTGCATGAAATATCTATATTATATGTACGCATGTTACAAAATAAATTTGAACGAAAATTCGTGGTAAATTTGTCCAAAAGACAGTTCGAAGAAAAGTTTCATGAACGAAATTACTTTTCGCATCACCTTAATAATGAAATATTCCTCTTAATGGAGTAAAATCATCTTTCGTGTCTGCTTTTAACAGGCTTCCGGGGAAGAAGAGCGCGTCCATATTGAAAAGAAAATTTCCGAGGTGAAGGAAAGTTCGGCAAGTACATCGAGCGATCCAAAGCGAACGAGAAGAACGAAAAAGAAGCATCGGCAGTTAAGCGACCCAAGTTCCAAAAATGACTACCGCCTTAAAGCGAAGCTCCGCAAAAAAAGACTCTCCGTAGAAAATCGGAAAGAATCCGCCGATAATTTCGGATCGGAAGGAATCCACGTGGATCCTTACATTCTCCCTTCCTCGGAGAGCCCTGCAAGTTTCTTGGATTCCTCTTTTCCGTCCGAAGATCTGTTTTCGTCCGACCAAGACAACGAGCGAGTGTTCGAGCACACAATCGACATTGACAAAGCTCTGTCCATTTCCAAATTCAACAGCAAGGAACCTCCGTCCGATCGCGAGACCGAGGAAAAAGACTCAGGGTTAAATTCGGTCGGTTTCGAACACTTTGAGCCGTTTCTGCAAAGGGCTTCGGACAAAGAAGGTAACCCCGAAGACAAAAGGAAAAAGGTACTCCTCGAATCCGGGAAACTTTCGGGGGACAATTCCGGCGCAACGAAGACTGCTAGAAGAGGCAGACGAAGACGTCGAAAACGCATCGGGCCAAGACCAAAAAATTCCTTTCTTGCCCAAGATAGACTCCGGAAGGAAAGAATCGAGAGGGATCGCAAAGAACGGGGAAGTTACAGCGATTTGTCCATTGAGAATCATCCGCAAGATCGCTCGGTAGTTAGGTACATCAGAAGTGGCGGTAAAGCCGTCGACGAAAGGATTCAAAGTCCTGTGAGTGAGCGACCACCTCGAAAACGCGGCCGACCCAATAAAAGTGCTTATCAGTCGATAAATGAGATATCCAACGAATGTAATGGACCTAGGTCGGTTTTAAGAAAGAGTGGACATCGTCGAAGACGTAAGACCTTGGCCATTTTCGACGGAACTTGTAAGGAGGATAAATCGACGAATAATGAAATCCAAGGAACCCCTAAGGAGGTTAGTGATATCAGGAGAGTTACAAGGGGCCTAAAAAAGACTATGGAACAATTCGGGGAGGAAAAGAGCATTCATATTGGCAAACTTGTTTGGGGTTGCTGCAATGGATGGTGGCCTGGTAAGTTAACATACATAGTTCGACATAGCTGTCGATATAAATATGAACGTAGACATTTAAAAGAATCTTTTTTACCGACGTCGAACAAATTTCTCAACGTGTTTGACTTCACCTTAACGAGTTACGATTTGATTTGTTTTTTTACACTTATCGCATTTTTAAGTCGTAATGGTATGAAATACGCTGAAAAGTGAGAAATGTATTGTAAGGAAAATATTGTAGCTTTGATTGTCGATGCCGAAGAAGTGGGTATGGATTCGAAGCCAGGAAAGGTATGGCTGTATTGGATCGGTGAGTCAAGGATTTCGCAGGTGAGATTTCTCCACTACCGAAACTAAACAAAAAAACAGTCTTATTAAAAACTCAAGTTGTCGGTTCTAAATGCATCTTTAATTGCAGCTCCGTGAAAAAAAACACGTCGAACCTTTTTCGTGTGATCTTAAAGCTCGCCTCATCAATCAGTTGCAGGAAAAAACTGCAACGAAAACGAAGACTATGGCTTTTATTGCCACACTTAAGGTATATTGATGATTTTTGTAAACTCGATATTTAATTGTTTGTAATCGTTTCTATCATTGATTTGGTTATTAATTATTTTTGTATATTGATAGCTGTTGTCTAAGAAGTTACATTGCGTTTTAACGAAACCTTATTACATCTGGGCGCGGACCAATTTATTGCGAAGAGATGATCGTAAGTAATAAAAAATGTTGCCATTTAGAATAAATGCATAACTAAATAATTGATTAAATAATGGCAATATGTTACAGTGTCTACGTTCTTTTACGAGAGAAATATTTCATTAGATTAAATCTGATCGTTTGTTTGATTAATTTTAACAGTTTACTTTATTGATTAGAATTATAAGTTTATACGTAAGAAAATTCTTTATCGATTTTTATCATTGCAGTGGATGACTTGAAATTCCATCCTTACCCGTCTAGAATACAAAGAAGACTCGATGAGCTGAAGGAATTAAACACAGTTGAGACAACTGATGATGATATTCTGGAAGAGAAAGGTATATTTTTTGTACTTATACATATCCCACCAAGCACACTGCAATTACATAACACTGGAATAACATGATGATGTATTGCAGTTATATACTATTAACATAACATATAACACGTTACCAATATATTATGTATACATTACATTACATGTTACAAATGTTATGTAACGGTTATATTATTGTTACGTAACAGTGTTTGGTGTGATATACTCTGTAATTTTAAAAATTACACCTTTTAATGTACTAAATAGATCCATCAAAGCTGTCAAACAAGAATTTCGAAGGAAAGAACGAGAAAGAAACTCTGGAACCAGGTCATTTGTCATTGTTGCAACAAAAACCTGGTACTATTGCCTGGGCGAAAATACTAGGATACAATTGGTGGCCAGGTAACATATTTTTCTTCTTTCCGTTATAGATTTTGTAAGAGCTAGTATGTTTCAGTTTAAATCTGCATTAAACTACATCTTTTAAGAATTTCCCTCCGATTTGTAGCTATGATTGTTGATTACCGTGATTGCGGTTTTCAAGAGCCTAGTTTCGGTTGTCAATGGATTATATGGTACGGTGATTCAATGTTATCTCAGGTAGAAACATTTCCTTTATTTTATCATTATTGTTAGAACTAATCATTGAAAATAAAAAGTCTTTGGTGACGCGACACGCACAAATGACGTTGTACAGGTCAATCACAAATATTTCTTGGAATTCGAAACTGGAATGCTCAAAATGCGGGAATATACCCTGCAGACGAAACGAATCAACTACGTCACTTCCGTTCTCGACGCTGCGAAGGTAAGCCTTTACTTTTCTAGATGGAATCAAGTCACGGATAAATGACACGTGTAGAAAAATGAACCGATCATCATTAAGGTGAAGTTAATCAAATCCCCTCAAATCAGTCGATTCGAATGACACTTTTTTTCTTTTAATGGTATTGAACCGAACTAATGACATTACAATAACGCATTCTCTTGAAGCTGCCGAAACAAGTATTGATTATGTTCAAGTAAGGGAATTGAAAAGACACTTTGTATATATATTTAAGGATTACTGCGAACGTCGAGGAGTTGAAACTGATGGATGGACTGTACAGGACGTGTTCAAATGGTTTGCGAAATCTCGAAATACCAATCTCGAGATTACTCCTGTTGTACCAGGTGTTGAGGATGAGTACTTGAAGTACTCTACTAGAGTGATAAACAAACTTAGAGAATTAAAAGGGATTCGAAAAGTTGCCGTTGCAAGAGAGCAGGACATAGAGGACAGCAGTAAGTTCTCAAACGATAGAAATACAGCTTCGTTGATGGATGCGTGAAAATATTTTCTTATGAATATATATATTTATCTTGGAATAGGTGCGTTACAGTCAGTTATCAATGGAACTAATAAGTTGGAAAGTTTATGTCTCGTGTGTTTAAAAATTTATAAGGAAGATATGTTTGAACATCCATTCTTCGTTGGATCGATGTGCGCTGAATGCTTGGTATGTTTTCATATATGCATTTCCAATATTATTTATATAATTAATATTGCAATCTTTCTAGGAACTATACAAACCCTGCATTTTTTCATATGGCGACGATGGCAAATGTGTAAGTGTAGAATGGTTACATGCAATATCACTTATTGTAATGTTATTTCACTCGTCACTTCCTTATCCGCGATNATATTAGGAACAGAACAAATTGTACAAAACATGATAAAATACCTTGTTTTCAGTTTTACTGTACACTTTGCGCTGGTGCCGATACCATAGCTATGTGTGATAGTTACGATTGCTCTCGGTAAGTCTTTTTGAAAAGATACGCAATTTATACGGTACGTACAATAAACTATTCTTTGCAGGGTCTATTGTACGGCCTGTTTGAAATACATTATTTGTCCGCAAAAATACATCTACGTCCTCCAGAAAGATCCTTGGCGATGCTTCTTTTGCGAGGAACAACCCGGATTACTTGAAAAAGGACTAGTACAACCAAGGGCCGACTGGAAGCACAGGATTAAAAAAATGTTTCAACCTAATAATTCCTCCGATTATGAAAAAGTTCCCGAATATGACGAGGTTAAACGAAAGATTCGCGTATTATCACTTTTTGATGGCTTAAGCACAGGTATAGTCTGATATAATTAACGTTGTGTCTAAGCGATGTAAAATTAGCCAGTTTGAACTTAATTAAGAAATTTTTATTCAACATTTCTTCCTCTCAGGATTTCTGGTACTAAAAAAGCTTGGACTTGAAATCGAAGTTTACTATGCGAGCGAAATTGATCCAAATGCAGAAATGGTAAGCGCCGCTCATTTCGGCGAACAGATCATTCGTTTGGGAGATGTTAAAGGCATATCGGAAGAAGTAATCAATCGAATAGCACCGATTGATTTACTGATAGGCGGTTCGCCCTGTAACGATTTAAGCCTAGCCAATCCTTACAGACTTGGGCTGGAAGGTAAATTAGAGATTAAATTTAATATTGTTTCGTTCAACCAGTTGTATTAAGAACTCGAACTAACAATAATTCTTCAGATCCAAATGGCTCGGGTATCCTTTTCTTTGAATATTGTCGAATTAAAGACCTATTGATTAAAGCAAATAATGACCGACATCTTTTCTGGATGTTCGAAAATGTCGCCTCCATGCCGAGCAAATTCAGAATAGGAATCAACAAGTAAGTTATGTATTTTAATAAATGGAGCATAGTTAATTATGTTACTTTTTGTCTTAATAGACATTTAGGAAGAGAGCCAGATTTGATCGATGCTGCAGATTTTTCTCCGCAGCATAGACCCAGACTCTATTGGAGCAATTTACCAATGGGCGCACATTCAATTTCTTCCCAGGATCTGCAAGATGTATTAACGCCGAATTGCAATCGTCTAGCCCTCGTGAAAAAGATACAGACCGTTACTACGAAAGTTAATTCCCTTAGGCAAGGTAAGGTCGACGCCCACTAAACACGGTTACGTAACAATAATATAACATTACATAACGTAATGTAACATATTGTAATACTATTTCCTACGCAGCTATATAATACTGTTATACAACGAATAATGTAACATATACATAACATATCGGTAACATGCTATATGTTATGTTTAAATTATGTAATTGTAATGTAATGTGTTTGGTAGGCGATGTTAACGAATGTTACATATAAACCTTCCTTTTAGGCAAAGCATTACTGAAACCTGTTCTAATGAATGGCGATCGAGATTCCTTATGGATTACAGAATTAGAACAAGTCTTCGGCTTTCCTCAACATTATACAGATGTGAAAAATTTATGCGCAACAAACAGGCAAAAATTGATCGGCAAGTCTTGGAGCGTACAAACGATTACTGCTATACTAAGACCTTTACGTTATTTCTTCATTATTAACAATGAGATCGAGTCATGAATATTATATTTTAAATATTCTGATATGCATTCAAACGTGTGCACAATGACAACACATATTAGTGGTAAACAAGCAACTAACTTTCGTTAAGTAGACGTCAGAATCATATGAAAGTTGTTACCGTGTTATAGTATCATCAAATTTTAATGACTTTTTATTATATTTTATATTTTATCCCTTTACATATGATAATTTTAACTTGTTTCGAAAGAAAACAATCTATAATTGTTATTTTTGTACGTTTGCATGGCAAAAATAGTCACTAAAGCAATTAAAAATAGTGCAAATACAAAGCCACGCGTGATAGTTCGTTAAGTATGGCCGATAAGTTTAGGAGTTGTGAATTATTTTCTATTAATATTCCAAAGTAAATATTACATTTTATTGCAAACCGCAAGAAATCAACAAAACTATGTGAATTTAATTTGCATTATCAGTTAGAAGTATTTCGGTAACAATGATTGTTTACTTTACTATCTTCTCTTAATAATATAAAAAGTGAGGCAGTAAATTGCCAGTTTTTTAATTTCAAGAATTTTTTAAAAATGTCCTGAGCACTTTCGTAGAAATTTAATGATTGTTATTATATATCACTTACATGTTTATATTCTTGAACGACTTAAAATGAATGCGTCAATGAATGGCTTTTAGACTTATATTATTTACAAGGTTTTTGTATAACACAGAATGAATACAACAGTGATGTTAACTGTTTCCTGTATTTGTCTGGTCTTGATACCCCATTTTAAAACACCCTCGTCGTGTGTCACGACTTGTAGGTAAATCACCGTGGCTTCCAGAATATGGTGCGCCAGGATGGTTCAACTGAAGTAGATTTAAGGGAATCGGTGAGCATCCGACAAAACAATTGACATATTGCAATAATGCAGCTGACAGTGGAGTATTTAAGAACACCTCCCTTTTTTCCATATCTATACCTCGTACTATACCTGTAAATAATGGTACATTATAAATTGACAATACAATTAATAATCGACCTTCCATTATTCAACCATTGTATTAGTTCCATTGTAGAGTGTAACATACTTTAACGTAAATATAGATGTCAGTAATGTGATGCGCCAGCTTATGTTACTAATTGAGTATTCAAAATGGCATTACCACCATAAAAGATATAAATGAATTCCAATCTATCGACGTCAATTAAATTACTCGGCGACTTTCATATCATCTTAATAGAATCTTTAGAAACATACCAAATCCGTAGCAAGTAGATAACGGTGCCCGTGCAAGTACTTTAGGATCCTTTAAGCCTTCTTCTTCTGCACTTGTTTCTGTTAAATCATTTTGCAGATCAACGCCACAAAGTGCAACAATGTTTCCATTCATTGCAGCCAGTACATGAGATGCTGGCACGACTGACCGAATTAACGATACACAAAGTGAATCAAATGGAATCCTGAAAAAATATTTTTGTCTACTTAATGGAGCTCTTAGCAATCTTAGATAATAACTTGAATTATAATAATTTGTTTTACTAACTTATATGGTACAACATCTGTTATACTTTGCACTTGTGTGTAGATAGACATCCTAAAAATGTTAAACGTTTATTAAGAGACAGCCAAGTCAGTAATTATTTTAATTAGGTTCATGTTCTTACCGAGACTTTTCTCGGTTCTGTAAGATTTGGCTTAGATATGCTAGCATGACGACATCCCTGTGTTGACAGGCTTTCATATTTGAAGTTTCATGATCTTTGATTCTTTCTTCAGCTTGAGATTGTATCAAATGCAACCTATGTTTAGCTGGTTTGTTCATTGGTATGTCCTTGTCCCATGAAATCCACTTGACATTCTAAATAAAATAACTTTAACATTAGTTTCAAATCGTCAGTAATCATTCTTTTAACTATTACCTGGCGATTGATGACATTCCTGTAAAATGGTTCATCGAAATTGTTTTTTACGTGTTTTGAACCAATTTGAATGATGTCTGTGGGTTGAATCATTTTTATTATATAAACTGCGATGTCCCATCCAATTCCTTGGCAAAAACCCATTGTATTCACTACAACTGGAAGGCCAAATAATTGTGAGGCGTTTTTCAGGCAGTTAATTAACTTTTTTACACCTTCGATGTAACGTGGAATGCAACGCACTATATCTACATCTCCGATGTATAATTTATAGAAAGGTGTCTTCAAGTGGGTAAAATTTGCTCCTAAAAGTGGTTCCTTGATCACATTTATAGAAATACAGCCAGGTGGAGTGCATTCCGTTTGACCTGGATCCAAATCCACTAAAACAACCTTTGATGTTCTTAACAGATTATTTATAAGGAATCGTACCATGGTAGATTTTCCTACACCCTTTCCACCAGCAAGAAGTGTACAAGATCGCTCTCCGGAAGCCGATTGTTCTAAAATCTTATCTATAACTTCTTCTTTCCATCTGGGATCAATTATTAATTGTCTTCCTGAATTTTCAAAATAGAAGTTAGCTTGTAAATTTATTTCAGCTCTTTTGGGGTGAGTCCAATTAGAATTGTTGGATTCTTCTATTTTTGGAAATAGTTTATAAGGACAATAAGCACTTAAGAAGGATGTTAATTCATTTTCTATATTTTCTAATAAAATCACTGTGTGGTTTTCACATTGATTGAGATCTCTCTGCAAATGGGTTTCTACGTCACGCTCAACACCTTCCAATGTAAGTAATTTCCAAGTATTTTCAAGATTACAATTGGAAGAATTATCGATACTTGTAATGCTGACAAGACCTTGACTTCTTGGGGAATAAACTTCAACCGTTTTTTCTGGTGAATCAAGGACATATCCATATACTTCTATACCTCCGTAAAGGACTGTAACTTTAAGCTTGCCACTAAAACAAAATTTACTTCCTGTTTCCATTATAACAATAACTTTTTTCTCAAGACTATAAAATCGTGAAGTTATTCTTGCAGCAGATGGATTTAAATTACGAAATGACGGTACCACTTCGGCCATTGTAATATCGGCTGTGTCATTTAGTAAATTATTACAAGTACTAGATCCATTTTGCGGATGATTTTGTGGTTTCTTATTTGATATTTCGTTATCGTTAATGTCATCCAATAAGTCCTTATAAATATCAGAGCTATTAGACCTCTTCTTTAATGACTTTGTGTGGCTTGAAGCTCTTTTTTTGTTAGGCGTTTGTACATTGCTAGCGTTGTCATTTAAGTTAATTTCGTTACGAACTGATTTCTCTTCCTGCTTTGATTTTTCAAGTTGATATAATTTATTTTCTTCAAGTTGCTCATTTCTGCTCTGATTATAAGATTTTTTCTGATTAGTACTGAGCAATTTTTTGGGCTGTTCGGATACATTACACCTTGATACATCTTTCTTGTCTCTTTCATTAATATCTGGACGCAGTGACGGTCCAGTGACAATTAAGACAGTCTCCGTATCCAAATCTTCTTTCACGATAAAACCGTCTAATATATCTGAACTTAAATTTGATACGCTCATTTTAGCATTAGATAACTCTTTGCTTGGAGATGCCGGTGAGCATTTATCTGAATCGTGCTCAACTACAGTGATCGGAGAACCCACATTTTTGTGTGACTTCCCACTTTCCATTGCTGATGAAATAACCTCTTAACTTGGTTGTACTTTCAAAACAAAAATTATTCATTCCATGTAGTAACATAGACAAATTAAACATTGATCGGAAAGTAACAATTAAAGTATTTTCTGTGTTACTGAAGTAATTATAATTAATCAATGTTTATAATACTCATCAGTAAATACAAAAACTAAATGATTTTTACACCTCCAGCTAAGCAGGAGACTAGCACTGACTGGCACTGACTAGCACGTGTTAATACAATAAATTTTTGTAAAAACTTAAACTAGTTACATTTCTCTATTCGGTATAAAGACAGAGATGAGATGAGTTGGGAGATTGCTCACGGGCTGCGTCGCGAAATCGCGTTCTGTGCTGCCCTCAGTGGAGAATGCAGGCGGCCCATGCACTTATCCCCAATGGCGATCCAACTCAGGGATCCAACTCATCTCTGTGATAAGCATCCTTTAACAGCTTTAACATCTCTTACCAACAAGTCCAGCAGCTCTGCGGCGATGTTGACTTGAAAAAAAAAAAAAAAGAATCCTGTTGTGATACACCTAACCTGGAAAGGAGCACAAAAGGACAGACAAAACAGAACGTTAAAAAAAATCCAGGAAGTCTGAGATTAGACAGCGAATAAGTTACTAAAAGTCAAGAATATTTATGGTAGATCGATTTCGTTAAATTGACTGAACTGGCATTTTCATATCATTTCCTCCTATCCTATATACCTTAAAATGATATGAAAGGCGCTAAGAATTTAATCGACGTCGATAAAGAAAAATCCATTTATACTCGTTTTACTGGTAATGCCGTTTTGAATATTCAAGTGGTAACATAGGTAGCACGTTTCGTTACCGACATTTATATTTATGTTGAAGTCTTTTACAGTCTGCGTTGAGAATTATATGAACCGAAGCCTTCCATATGTCATTTCAGTAAAGTAATGATAAAAAGATCGACGTAAAACTGTCGAAGTCCCGTGAATTCATGGCTGTTCATATTTTAACACGGACTAACATCGCCATCTATGACGTTTAGCTGCAACTAAACTGTTGCTCTAGAAACACGTGTTATAGCCACGAGACAAGCCAGCATTCTCTTGCAATCGTTCGTGAAAGTATTTTCCATATCTTCCCATCTGACTCTGTAATATTCCATTTCCACAGTATTCTAAATTGTTCGAGCTAGGTCCTGAAACTCTTCATTTTCGATTCTAAGTCTCCAAGAAGCGTAAAACATCAAAAACGTACACTGGCAACACCACATTGGTTCGAATTCATGCTAAATACAAAATTTTCGTTTAAAAAATGAAACTTCATGAATTTCAGGATCTATTTTAGGGCCTCATATTTACGTGGTAATATTTGAAGCCAGAGAATACTTTCACGAACGATTTGACCTCCCAGATACATATATAGGCTGACCCTTCATATCACCTTAAGTAATGATACGCATTACAGGAGAAGAATACCGACACGAACGAATTTAATTATTAATAAAAATTCTTCTTTGTCATTAATCGATTTAACGTTCAAGTATGTACGAAACAAGCAGGAATAAAGAAAAAAAAAACTCCTTATGTAAAATTGATCCGATTCGATGCGAGTACTTTTCACCGACGTCAAGCATCGAAGTCGAAGTAATTGATGCCGAAAATACTTAGCATTGAAATCAATATATTCAAACGCAAATATTCGCATCGAAGTGTATCAGTTTATCTCTAGTCCAGGCAACTCGAGAACACCGAGTACGTCCTACATGAACCACGCAGACGAATCTTGCCCTTCGCGCATGTACCACTCTCCGCGGACTTTATGCTGGATTCTAGATACGTACATCCAGGATGGTCAGGTACGCTTCGGGAGCAAATCCTGAATGAAATTCGCAGCATAGGTCCTTACGCGTTGGCGTCGGGCGAACGAGATGTTCCCACACGGTTCGCCGTCATGCGAGACCGCAGAGTGTGCGCTACTCCAAGCGCATGCTAAAAGCAGGTCCTATTGATCGCCGCGGACCTCTCTCCCTCGTAATCGTGACAACCTCCAGAGACGTAACTGTCCCACCAGCCAGTTCGGAACAACCCGTGGAGAGGCTCGTCGCTCGACTCCGATCACCCTGAGTTCTTCGTCGACGGCCATGGACCACTCGCCTACGTCCGGAGCCCTCTTCATCCTCTGTGAGTCATTGGTCCTCGTCGTCCACATACCTCTCGAATCGATGTCTCTAAAAAATGTGAACACTCAGCAACTTTCCCGGAATACTATCCGACTATAATCCAAATTAAAGTTTGTTAAGTCCTGCCCAAAATAGGAACGTTTCTCGAGTTGGGAATAAATTGATTTATTAATACGGCAAAAAATAGGGGTAAGTTAGAAGGTAAACTAGTTAATCCCTGATATGGTTCGATGTTGGATATGGAACTGGTCGACCAAGGGTGTTTTATAATGTTTGATGTGGGGGCAGGAGAAGATTAGGAAGGGATGAAATAATCTCTCTGGTTGTTTGGTTTCATGGTGGGTGCATCGTGACCCTTCAGGTGGGACAGAATTTGTTCATTGAGCTGATGATTTATTAATACCGCAAAAGATAGGGGTAAGTTAGAAGGTAAACTAGTGAATCCCTGATATGGTTCAATGTTGGATATGGAACTGGTCAACCAAGGGTGTTTTATAATGTTTGATGTGGGGGCAGGAGAAGATTAGGAAGGGATGAAATAATCTCTCTGGTTGTGTGATTTCATGGTGGGTGCATCGTGACCTTCCAGGTGGGACAGGATTTGTTCATTGATCTTATTCGTCAGAAACGTTTCCTTTTTAACCGACTTCGGAAAAAAGGAGCGTCTCAATTCACCCCGTATGTTTCTTTTTGTAAATGCATGTTCACGCGTAATATTTTCCCGGGTTCACCGATTGTGATAGTTCCTTTTCTGTTTTAAAGAGGGTACTTTTTAGGTGGCTCCATGTGAATTTCGTTACTACCCGATTCTGAATTCCGAAGGTGTCCAACGGATATCATGATCGATTGACAGGAACCGCATTGTGATTGAGTGATTTTTGTTTTAATCAATTTCTTTTATACAATTATGTTTCAGGACGTAGGCTGTAAGTAATTGAGTACAACAACGGAGCTCGAAGTTTTTAGTTGCGATGAAGTTTGTTGACAGAATTATGAATTTTGCATTATGGACGAATCTCACGTCATGGTGCCAGTGTTTGTTATTTAAAGAAATTTTAATGGCAGGGTGCCTTTTGGGGTCCGTTTGGAGTGGACCAACGCCCACGGTACCTCCTGCAAGTCTGAAGGACAGCCACTACACCCCTAGTCGACCCTTAAAATCCATCGTCGAGTTGGTTACGCCTATAACCAAATTGCCGGCGGTGAGTTTTAATTTCGATAACGCGATCGGTCTCCACGATAAGAAAATTAATTACAACTAACCCGCGGTTCTCAGCCGTACTTTCCGCGGTTAGTATCAGGGAACATGAACGTGTACTTTATTGTGCGTTAATGTCAGCAAAATCGATGCGTGTGCTTTTGGCGTCTTACTACCAGACCCATTGGCACAACTACTACTGTGAATTCTCAGTATGCAACCGAGTTTGTCAGCTTATCCGAGAAAGGTGTGCATATATCCGTTTATGTACTCTTTACGCGGTGTAACGTGCGATGACCGCACCTTCGCAGTCGTCACACGTTACATTTTCTCCGTAGTGTCACCTGAAGAGTGCTTAATATAAAACTGGTACAATTTCTTTGAAAATCCCTGAGAGCTTAAATACAAATTATATTAATATATTTCAATGACAATGCGTCTTTTTTTTTGTTCAAATCAGGTTACATACATTCTTTTCTGGCTGACCAGTTAACTGGTTAATGTTATATATAAGTGTGTTTAATTAATTTTGTACTTTTAGATAACACCAAACTCGGATGTACGGACAACAACGGTAACATCGACGACATCTGAAAGACCAATTCCTGCCCTGAGACCTGTATATCGGCTTAATGGTAGTAATGGACAGGCTTGCATCCTCTTGCAAGTGGACGCCATTATAACTGTCATGTATCGCACTAAACTGGGGATTGACGAGGTAATGAGCCAATAATATACTTCACTTAATTAGGCCTTTAAATCTTCGTTAATCCTCTCGTCAGATTGCATCCACTACCTGAGGCTTTATTTATTGCTCTTTAATGCTCTTATTTAACGAATGTGTCACTGTAATGTATTGGGTTGGAACATACGTTTATGTCGTTTTTTCAACCTAATATAATAGCGATCGAAAGGTATAATCTAATTATGTGATTATGTTGCAGAAAGTAGACATATATGTCCCAGATGAGGCAACTGTCACCGGTAATTGCGACAGTGAGAATACGGTTACGATGTCTCTAAAATGGAAAGCTTTCGTGTTATCCTGGAGCTTTTCCAAGGTAACGGCTGCCTTTACAATATTTTATTGATCGTTAAACGTGACCTTTGCAACAAGCGCAACGGACATTATCTGAAATACTTTTTCATTTTTATGATTTTCCTAGACCATATAAATCTATCTTCAGTAGTCTTTCTACATTGTTTCACCTATTCTACTATTTATTTCACCTAAATGAAATTCACAGCATAGAAACCTCTTCCTTGCTGCAGTGTTATTTTTTATATTCAGTTACTGAGAGGAATTCCAAAATAATTCCTACTCGTTAGATAGGTAAACTTGTTAGGTTTGCGGTAAAATTTAAATTGTTAAGTTTGTCGTGAATTTACTTTCAGACCCCGGGTGGTGAGAGGTGGTACGTCGACAAAATTGAATTGACCTATAATTCCAGTGAGCGACACTTCGAGCACATCGATCAGCCAAGTGAGTGCAACTTAGAATATGACTGCAATGTGTTTTACGTTATAGTTACACGGGGAAAAGTGCAATACCAACGAAAAGAACACTTTTACCAAATCTTACTGACACACACTCATCATAGCCTTCCATTTCAGTAAATGGTTACTGTAGTGTTATAACGATACGCTTAACTGCGGTTTAACAACTTGCTTTTACGTGCCATATTCTTCTTTGTAACACTTACCTTTTTACAGCCTTTGCGTGTACTGCAACATTATTTCGTGTTAAGCGTAATCGATTTATATGCTGCCGTCTGTATACTACATTTACTTCGGCTACAGCAAATGATGCATGAAATTTATATAGTATATACCATCTTAGTGGTATCGACAACAGAAGACTATTGTTAAACTGTAGTGAAACAATTATTTCTCCGTATATTTACGACGCAACTCTAGGCCGCTTATTGGAATTTAATTTTTCATCTTAAATCTTCCAACAGATAAAACAATCCGACTCAGCTCAGAAAAGAAACACAGTCACATGCTCTTCCCCACACCAGTTGGGAAATCATATGTTTGTACGGACGACGTGATAATTCCTTTGACCGATGGGAAGAATGAAGCCACTGTATTATTAAGGTACAGATCAGAAAGAACAATTTGCCTCCATTAATCATTATAAATTAATATATAATAATTGTTAAAATGATTAGTAATATTAAAGTTGTAAAGCGAATGTTAAAGTGCCGAGAGAAGCATTCACATCCCAGACAGTACTAGATGTCCTATGGATAATATGAAATATTACAAAACGAATATATTCAGTATTTGCAGAATATCTGTTAATGTTAACAATATCCATAGAATATCGTATACATGTAGAAATGGTCACTTGTTGATATGAAATTAATATCGGTGGAACATTGTATGAATGTTCTTGGGATATTCGATATTCTTATTTATAGACATTCTTCACTGCATATAATATATATGTCCCACCAAACACACTATGTTACATAACACTGGAATAACATGGTATATAACGAATGTTATTCAAAAGATACATTAATATCATATAACGTCGAATTATTACCGTTCGGTAACATTGTATGCATTTTCACATATTCTCCAAATATTAACTAATATTCAATGCTGTCTGGGATGCTCCTCTTCAATTTAGGTATAAAACCGAATGATTTCAGGGACATGAAGCTACAGCCGTTCAAGTTCAAGAACAATGAGTTCGCAGCTGAGTTTTCTTGCCGCTCTTTGAGTGCTCGTGCCGGTCGGGATGAAACTGCACCAGTTGCAGTTGGATCCACTCTTGCAGCTGCCGTTTTACTCACCATTGCTGGATACGCTGGATGGAGATATTTCAAAGTCAATAAAGTCAAGTACGATACGATGGAATAAGTGTAAACGACATCCAACATGGATGGAAAGGTTTCATCTTGAACGATCCGGAAGTCGTCGTTGATCTTCGACTGTGATTAAACTTTTCACGTAGCATATTCATACGAATCTACGAGTATCTAGAAATCATACATATCTACAAATTTATCGGAAATGGTCTATTATGGATGTATTCATATTTTGTTTAAGGAGATTAGTGACACTATTGGTCTCATTTGAGATTAGGTGTATATCATTTGGCCTGAGAATCTATTAAAGTGTCGCCTGAGCGTCATATTTTCATTACAACATATGATAGAATTTCATTATCATTATCATATTTATTGAGTAATATGAGAACATCTAGAGGATTGGGACTACACGTGCACTTGTGATTTTGAAGAATGATCAATGGCCCGATATACTTACGATAAGGAGACGTCTATTTAATGATAATATGTATACTAATTTTTATGTAAAACCTCGCCAATGGATTACTTTATCCTGCCGTATGTTAGATGGAGGATAGATATTTCTTAAAGATTCCGCTTGAAAGAGAAGAATAGATTACTTCGGCCTTGATGAGAAGAAAGACCGTGCAAGTTTGCAGGAAGACTGTACAAATCGGTGTAATGTACTTCACTGAATTATGATACTTCCTTATCTTATTTAAACTTTACTTTTCTCTTGTTTACCATGCCATGATATAGTGTAATAATTACTAGATATACAGAGTACATGCGTATGGTCTCGATAAAGATGGAACAATTATCGAGTAATTCTATTTACATTTATTGGGTAACAATTTATTTGCTAGGTATTATTTAGCAAGGAACTAAAATTACGTGCGCGTGAATATCCTATTTATCACGACTGTTACCAAAAATAGATCAAAATTAGATCAAAATCAATCGTTTGTGAAGAGGGGGAGATTTGTAACTCGCAAGAATTTGCGGTTGTAGCAATATCTTCTATTGTCAGAATTGATATGCGCGTATATCATAATTGAAATAATTCCTTTGTCACATTCAGTTCTTAACCATATCCACGGTGTTGCAAAGAGACGTTTTAGATAGTCTTTATTTTCGTCGTAAGTTTAATGGATACAAATGTCGAAGGCGTCAAACATGTCCTTTAGGCAACTGAAGCTTGCCAGTCGAGCTTTAGGTAGACATATAATCAATCTGTCTTTGTATTAACAAATAATTTAAGTCCGTTGTTACTTAGCCCTCTCTTTCACCGTGTATTACCGTGGACATTCAGTGCCATATAAGATGTATATAACGTTTACCAGTTATCCTTAACGTCACATTACATGGGATATAGAATCCCAGATCGGTAAATATCTTGAAGTGTACGAAGAAGGTAACGTTCAGCTTTTAACTCTTTTCTTCCAGCGGTATTTCAAGCGCTTAAATCTCTTCCAAGTTTTTTATTGGACCTAAAACAATCTACAGTAGCATGAAAATACATTGTATTTTTCTAGACAGTAGCATATATTATTCGACCTTTAAGAATTGTATTAATAGCAGAATTTATTTGCCTGTAAAAGCAACACGCATGGCCTACGAGGAAGAAAAGTGTTAAAACATATTTTTAACCACGTGCTGGTTAATATACTTAGTAAAAGTTTATAATGGTCAATGTGTTTTTAGCCTTCATCTTGCGCTATTATATTAAAATCGTATTAATTTAGTGTAACGTCTTTTACTGTTTTACAAGATGTTTATATTTGTTATAATATTGCGATGCTTCAAAACAAAGCTGGAAATATTAACGTTATTAAAAATGTTTTTGTAAGTCATCGAAGTCGAGGTAGCTTGTATTTTTAAAATAGCACCATGATCTGAAAAATACAATCAACCCTTTTAGATTCTCATAACAATTTAATTATGACATTCTCACCTCTCGCGTTGCGGATAACTTTTCGGGAAGTGCACATTACCAATTTAATAACAATATAGAGTACAGTGTATAAATGAAAACTACTAAAGAAAGGCACATATATTCATATTGACATATTATAATTATAATATAAGCCTCTGTCTTCCAAATACATATTAAAGAAAAACTGCGTGTGTAAATAATGCATATCATATAATGTATATCATTATGAAATTATTATCGTGTAAACAGTGTCAATTCGTCATAATTAGACAATGCTGGAAACCTAGACAAGTCTCGACAGCTGATGCAAACAGAAATGTATATGTTCTAAGATTGAGACAGAGGTGGGAATGGTATTTGTTTAAAGACCTGAAAAACGATTAACAAAAGTCAATTTTCCTGTTCCACTTGTGTAACTGTCAAACGTACGGATACGTTTTGATCATTAATTTATTGTAATGTAAAATCCTCAATGTAATGCCTCGTATGCAGGGTTGGGTAATTTCGCGTTTTTCGAGGTTCTTGACGTATATTACGTACAGCAAGTACTTCATCGTAGACAATCGTAGAAAACCAGTAAATTATGTTTTCAATATGAAGAGTGCCACAGATAGACGATACACGGCATCCGATATGTTATAAACATCTTTTGGCGCAAATGTAAACACGTAACAACTTTTAAGGAACAATTAGTTTGGCGCTTACCTTCAAAATTCTTTCGACTTAACACTATTTAATATTAAAAATTCTAATTGGATTTGTTCTTTTCCATTTAGAAATTGTGATATACACGTAGAAAAGCACGTATATTACATGATATATTATACTTACCCAACCCTGCTCGTATGAGTACGTTTTGGAGCACCATAAGGTCGTCGATTGTTAGCAAAAATAAGTAAAGATATCGATTGCAATGTAACGTGTTAATTACCGTGCATATGCCACGCATTAAACTTGTGCTGTATCGATAAAATAAAGGCTGTTATACAAGTTACACTAGGATCATTATTTTTATAAATTAGGTTGGCTATAATATACATATATATTTTCGTTGACAGATAAAATTTATGCATATCATACATGACTTTGGATTTTTAAAAAAGAAATGAGGTACTAAATATTATAGGATTAATTTTACATTTTAGTGCCAAGCGGTAAGTATAGGAGTAGCTACTCCAAATTGATTTGTACTACTGCGGCATCATAAATATATGGCGACAAAAAAAATATATAGATGTTATACAAATATTTGGTATTAGTTACACATTTGTTTGGAAGGCCAGAGTGCATCCCTGCAGGAGAGAACCTACAATTGTTGGGGTTTCGAGTGCGGCCCTGAGAGGGCGTGAAAAGTACAGTCAAGCAGGATTACACCTCGGAACCCTCCGCCCTTTGCGCAATGCGCGTACCTACATTGTCAATAGCATATTCTCGTAATGCCCATTGAAAACGGCCTGACAATAGCTGCCAACCAATCGTATTGTCCGCTACAAGAATCCTGCCCGCGGGTTCCAAGCAGTCGGAAAATCGTACAACACGGTTATGGTTATTACTCCATAATACCATACAAGTTTAAGTATGCGGCAATATGCCCCTTCTACATCTCTTAAAAATATAGTTTCATAAACCTTAAATATTGGAATATTAATTAAAAAAAGTTAAATAAATGATTGCATAGTATTCGTTGTTTTTTCATGAAATGTTAATAATTAACTGAGAGAATATCGCACTGACACCAATGAAAACGTTTACACAAATTATCTCCATACACAAAAGATTAATATAAATCGTATTGCGCTGTAATAATAAAATTGATGAAAGGTGTATCAGAACTAAACGAATGTAATAATGAATGTTAATAGTAATTAACTGCAAAAAGAATGATGTGATGTCAAAAAGGCTTCGTTTATAGAACTTTTCTTCGAATCGTGTGTACCTAATTGTTTAAAACTTCACATTGTGAGTATTGCGGTTATAAAGGAGGTTCTGACACTCATGAAGTTTCAATGTTTATAAAATTTATTTAAAGGTATCTTCAAAATTTCTTATGAAAAGTGAAATTTAATGAATGTCAGGGCCTTCCTTACAGCTTTCATATTCACGATATAAAATTTCAAATGATTCGGTTCACCCAGTTCAAAGTAAAGAGTCATGAACGATTGCCCCTTTAGATGTCACTTTCACAACCCCTTGATATACAGTTCATAAGTGAGTAGCATATTTCATATCGGAAGAAGAGCATCGGGATTTAAAAAGTGCATGAATCACAAAGTATCGCGTTCCAAGGCGGAAAGTAGATGATCACTTCTCCCCAGCGCTATCATACGTGATGTAAGTTATAGTTGCGCACGCAGGGCTGTATAGTCGCATAACTACAGGAACGTTATGGGGCTACGCAGCGGAGTGGCATGGTGTCCAGTGACTCCCATGTCGGCTTGTTATCCGGACCGCCCCATCGTTATCTGCAATTACCCCAAAACAGCCCCTAGTTTATAAATTATAGGCCACTCCCTCCGTTATGCTGCAGCCAGGTTACATCTATCATCAAACGCACCCAATTACGATCAATTATTTTGCTCTTCGAAATTGTTAACCCTTTATCCAGACACCAAAGAAAGGGTTAATCCGCTTCTTCCTGAACTTGTGCAGACTCACCACCTTGCAATTTCTTATTGTTGAGCGAGGACTGTGAATTCAAAATGTGTAAGTAATGGGACTACACTTGATTTAAATTATATTAATTTAAATACGATAAATAGGACATTTTTTGTACATGTTTAGGATAGGAGAATAAATGTGTGGAGTGTTTAGGGCCAGGAAGAAATTGTTACGGATTCCCGGTTAAGTACACTTCCGACCATGCCGAAGAGGTTAACCATTCATGTCGCTTCTATTGTTGGGAGTGCGTAAAGCTGCTAAGACCTGAATGGTGCCAATTCGGACCTGGAGTGCATGATTTTCTGGTCCAACCTGAATTCATCCTGCGCAGCTTTTACGAAGAAAGAACCAACTGCAGGGGAGGGGGAGTCGCTGGTTAATATTCAATTTTCAGGGAATCCTGAAGGAAAAAACAATTTTTGTTTCTGTGGTATATCGTTTTAGCCGTACTGCGCATCAAGAAATAAAGACATTGT